TGAACAAACTTTGAAAGAAAACAAGAAAATTTCAATGCTCCCCCCAATGTGATCATCTGTCTTTGCCCCTGTGGCTTGTAGTTGTTTAATGTCTCAATGGTTTTAGAATACCCATGTCTCCTGTTCATTCAACCATTCCTACATCATGTATGAATGAATGAAGGAAATGTGTCACCAACCAGAACTAAATTGAGGATCTGGCCCTGCAAGACCCAAAAGAGCCCCATATCCAAACTTAGGCTCTTCCCAATGGTAAACACCACCCACAACTTGACCAGACAACTTGAAACCTTGCAAACAATTGATCTTCATATAAGCCCCTCTTTATTTGATTCATTTGTTTCTATTTTGATTCCATCAACCATTGTTTCATGTGTTCAAAGTTTTGCTATCAAATTCAGTCAAGTCACCTCAAGATATATCTCCAGAATTATCATGGAATAAACAGAACAGGGATTAACTCCCATTCCACCTAATTATGAGATGTCTCCTGAATCAGACAAGGGCTCCTCCAAAAAAAAGATCTTGGCTCAAAAGGAATTTAGTTTCTGAATGATTGGTATCAAGGTTCAGTATGAATGGGGTCAGGGTTATGAAATGCATGAAGGCTTTGAAAGCAATCAAGGTTATGAAAACAATCAAGGTTGTGAATCAATGGACTCAAATTTGTGAATCAATGGACTCAAGGTTGTGAATGAATTAAATCAAGGTTGTGAATGGGTGGAATAAAGGTTATGTACAAAAGGAAACAAGGTTATGAATGAATGGAATTGAGGTTATGCATGAATGGCATCAAGGGTATGGAATGGGATTGGGTACAATATGGAAGAGGTAGAAAACAAGACACTGGTCAACATCACTTCAATCTGGTATAAGGGTACTTATGCTTTTATGTAGTCTTAGACCTGTATCCACCAAAAAAATCTCAAATTCAATTTGACAAGCAAAACTGGCTTGACTGTATATGATAATTGTCATAATGCATTGTTGTATGACATGTGCAGCACTATCAAAGCCCCCAGCTACTAGTCACTGGCTGGCCAGAGACTACCACAACTTCATGAAAGATTCTTGAAAGCTTCAGAAAGGTTTCAAAATGACTTCAACATAATAGATTGACAATATTCAAGATCCAAGTCTTATATATAGGACCAAAATAGTATTTTTTATCCATGATTTTTTTTCAAACCTGAATGACTCAGTCAATTTACATGATAAAGCTTAATAGACTATATATTCTTGATCTGTGGATTAAGGAGCAGGTGTGTAGAGATTCATGGTGTCATATTATGACATCTGAATCTTGCATGATATTGGGTTGAAGTCATTTTGAAACCTTTTTGAAGCTTTCATAAAGCTTTCATAAATTCAGTGGTAGTCTCTGGCTTGTCAGTGACTAGTAGCTGGAGACTGTGTATATGACCTTTGCCAAGCATGGAGCCAGATTTATTGATTTCACAAAGCAGTGGTCTTGTCTTTTTTTGCTATCCACTGTTCATCTGTTATGATTAGGAGGGATCAAAACAGAATGTGATATGTAATAAAACAAAATCTACACCTCATAACTCAGTGTCAAGAGTTAAAATACTTAAAGCATCCACACTCGTGCATTAAATCAGGTTTGGTCACTGAAAATTTAACCTGGTGAGAAATTAGCCCTGCGGCAGTGAATTTTCAATCAATTTGTGTTAGGCAATTGGTAAATTTAACAATTGGCTAATGCATGTGTTAAAACGCATTACAACTTGTTCCCAGCAACTTTGACTCCAAAAACAAAACTCAACCCAACCTCCAACACCTTCAAATCCCTTGTTTGTTGTGAAAACTTCAGATCACATTTTGTGACTTTCTCCTCCACATTTTGTATTCCTGGATTGAGCACCTCAAGATCTCTCTTCTTGCCAAACTTTGGACTGTTTTGCATCAATCCATCTTGTCCCAAATGTTTTTCAGACCCCTGGCTCTGTGGTAAAGGTTTCAATACTCCTGTTTGATAACCTTCTCAAACACTGGAACAACTTCATGGTAGGATAAGTCACAATTGCTTCAACACATTGGTATGTTAATAGGTCAATTTAATATCTTCAATCAACTTCAAACCAATCAGATGAAGAGGATAAATCAATCTCTTTGATCTCATGGATTTTTGTTGACTTAGTTCCTTAACTTGACATCTATTGATCAAAGATATGAACACAATCATGTTGACTTTGTTCTTTCAAATTTAAATCGATTGATCAGGTAGATGAGCACAATGATATTGGATGTATGTAGATCTGGATGTATGTAGATGGAGAATTTGAAACTTAAAGTCACCAGTACCCCAGTGCAAAGAAGAGGACAGTACCTCTATCACAAATACTTGTGAACTGTAGCATTTGATGAAAGCAGGTGGACACATATGTACTTGAAAAATGAAAATGTTGCCTTACTGCATGACCACTGTGGAGCAAATGCATTATCCATAAAGTTACAAGAGTTACAGCGCTGCTAATGCAAACAAGTGTGAAATTTGGTCAAGTTAAGTAATTTTTTTACTCAATGTAGGTTTGTTACTGCGCACAACCAATTTAGTAACCTCAAAGAAGTGTGGGTGCTCTTATACTACATGATATACTTGACATTCTTATATGTAATTAAGCATAATTATTAATTATAATAATAACTGACAATAAAAGCAGTTACCCATTGTAATGAATTGATATTTGTCTATATCACTAAAATTATGTTTTAGAGAGGAGAGTATATGCAATTACCCTCTCTCAGCCTTCAAGCGGATCCCCCAAGCTTGTATTACAAAATAATCTCAAAGAACAACAAGGTACTCTCTGCCTAAGAGTAAGTAATTCAACTTCCTTTCTGGATCCTCTACTTTCCCCAAGTAGGAATATTCATCAAGTTAGTGAGCTTCAAAAACTCCAGGTAATTGGTAACCTTAAGAAGACCTCCACACTGGTGGACTTATTTGAACAACCCAAAGTTGGTGACTTCAAGAACAGCCAGAATAGTTGTCTTCATATCAGTCTTCAATTGGTCAATCAGAAGATTGAAGGGAAGCCTTGGATCCAACTTCCATCAATCATTATACTCTAATTATAATTGAAATCTTATCTTGAGGAGTTGATTAACTGTAGTCTGTCTGGATTTACCCCAAACAGACCAGTTACCTTTCCTTTTGCTGTCCTCTATTTCTTATATTCTATTTTTAATCACTAAATATAAAAATACGGAATTAGTTAATAATATTATACAATTAAACATTTACCAACTTGAGTGAGCATAGAGAACTCCAAAAGATTACCCTACCCTCACATGGGGGGCTGTGATTGTAAAACACTTCAACACCTCATACCTCCAGATCCACTCCTTTAGAATGAAGTCTGCCACAGCCTTTGAAGTCAAATTTTGTAAAGATTTTACTTCAACACATCCTGCAAGATCATTCCATACCACAATGAAGTGCTTGTATGGACTACTTCTGATATGAATTGTATTTCAACTGACTCTCCCAAACACTGTTGATTCTCCTGGAGTGTGCCCTATTTTTTTTGAGTATTGGGACTTGTTCTTTGACAGGCTTCACAAGATGTAACTCACCCTTGCACATATTCCTTCATCTCTGGCCATCAAAATCTGATGAAGCACCTTCTATAAATTTCTCCAACCCCTCTATGTCCCATCTCTTCATGTAATATTTGTAAAACTATTTCTTGACCTTCTTTTCTTGACCTGCTGGTTGAAAGTTAGGGGGCAGGCTCAACACAAAGCGGATTGAGATTAGACTGATGCTTGCCTCATAGACAGTGTTCACATGTGACAGGATGAATTGTTTGGCAATGGCAATATCTGATTGTGATGTGGGCTGTATGTGGATTGCATGATGTCAGGGGTTTTACTTGGAGACACGGTTTTGGGAAGAGAATGAAAGGGTTTTAAAAACAGAATTGGGTTGTCAAGCTCTGTGCATTTGGGTTGTAGATTTGCAAGGTTTAAGTACAAGTGGAAGTTTTACTGAACAAGTTCAAGATCAAAAAGTATGAGAGTCATCCGAAAAGATGTCTCACCCATCACTTCCCACTGCAATATCATGTCTCCTATTTATGCTGTATCTTCAGGCTCATGTGAGGTCAGAGGGCCAATTTGCCACCGGGCTGAACCGCCAAAAGGGCCCGGCCCGTTGCCGAACTGATTGTGAAAAAATCTAGACTGCAGGCCCCGTGGCCCAGCTCGACCGTCTTTGGGCGAGCTCCATGTGGCCTGATGACTGGCCTGCAGCTGGCAAATGGCCAGATAAACAGGCGCGTTGCGCGCCGTCGGACTCAATTAGGTCATTGGTGGGCCGCCGATCTAGGCAGCGGCTGACCCATCGACGGCCCGTGCCGAGTTAGACGGTCTCCCGGTCGAGAGGCGGTGCAAACCCCCCCGTGATGTAACGCTTCCTCCTAGATTGGAACCTTGTTTAGTGTTTTCTCTCTCTTATGCAATTGTAACCAATTGTTCTTAGTTTTCCGCTTTCATCCTATTCGTCCCAATAGCTGTAACCTCAAAAAACGTAAAAAAAAACCAACTTGAAACCCCGTATTGTCGAAAACTCATGTTTTACCTTTTGAAATCTGATCTTTAGGAATCGAAAGATCGCTGAAGAAGGAAATAGATCCTACAACTATCCAGTCCTCTTACATAATGTTATCAAAGTATCCTTTTGTGACGGCGCAGTGGTTGTCGTATCACCACAAGTGTATACTTACCCAGTCGCTCTCACAAAGTCAGCAAATAGCAGCAAATAGCCAAGCAAAATAGGTGGCCTTGACGTAATTCAAAAACTTTTGATAAGTTCGTAAAGGTGCTGTGTCAATCCTGCCTCACTCGAGTAAGAAGCTCAAGTTCTTCGCCCTCTTCTCCATCAAAGTATATCCGCATTGCACATCAGTTGCAAACTGTAAATCACCCATCTAACATTCATCATTATACGATATCAACCTCAGCTTAAGAGAGAGCTGATGATGATGATAATCGATAAATCCTTCTTATCTATAATTCCTAATTTTGATAGTTTTCTTACGCATTGGGTATTATTGGTATTATTTATTTATGTCGTTCATGAGATTATATCGGAATGGAAAGAAAATGAAATTCGGAAAAGAGCCCAATCGAAAAATAGTCATATAGCACCTTTAGTTTCTTCCATTATACCTTTCGCTTTAACATTTTTAAAAAACAAACTCATTTCAATTTTCACAGGTGATGATACATCAAGTGCATTTGATTATCTTCGAGTATATTCAAAATCATTTAAAGTCATCAGATTTAATATTCTTGGAAACCAAGTTATGCAAAGCTTTTCACATTTAGATATTAAATATATCTTATCCAACAATTTTCAAAATTGGGGCAAATCTGATCATTTCATAGCATCTTTTTATCCATTATTGGGTGATGGTATTATCAATACCGATCAGAGGGCATTGTGGTCTTGGCATAGATCTCTAAGTAGACCTCATTTTTCGCGAGAAAGAATTGCAGATGCGGATGCTTGTGAAGAACATGTTCTCCGATTAATACAATGGATCAAGATTCAAAGTCGATTGAAACAGGCTATCGACATACAAGATCGTACGATTCGTTTTCACTTACTTATCAATGCTCTTGACTATTGAACCTGTGATTTACTGTTTTTTATCTTGTTTATTTGATTGTTCAGTTTTTTCTCGTTTAACTCTCACGGTCGCCTCTCAACATCTCTTTGGACATTGTTTTGATACGCTCAAGGATCTCTTTCGTGATAGACCTATACAAGAAGGGGGTATAGATGTTGCAGCTTTCTGTAAAGACTTTGCTGATGCTCAAAGTTATTGTCACGCACGTCTCTTGCTACCATGTAAGAGATCTTTCTCAACCAGGATCTTCAACGTCAACTTATACTCATCTTTTCAAAATTCTGATCGACCTAGCTTTTGTAACGAAATTGATTCAAAAACTGTCCCCCAATCCATCGATTAAGAGAGTCCTGGAAGCCATGGATGTTTTGATAAAAGATGTAGTGCAAAAGAATCTGATCGATAATTCATTAAATGATCAACAAGAGCCTCAAAATCTACTCGATCATCTACGTCAATCAGGTTGCTCAGCTCAACTTCTTCGTCACGAACTCCTAAATCTGCTACTTGCAGCTAAAGATTCTGTTGCTTCATTAATCACGAGTTGTATCTACGAATTGGCTGGAAGAGATGAAATCTGGACTCAGCTTCAATTAGAATGCAGTGGTCTCGCTGAAAGTTCTTCAATTTCTACTGATCAAATCCATAAATTAAAATTTCTTAGAGCAGTCATCAATGAAACTCTTAGGTTATTTTTCATTTTTCGTCTTGTGCCTTTATCTCCTGCCATGACTGAGATGTTTTTGTTTTGTTTTGTTAGACTTCATCCACCAGTTGGGTCTAACGTACGTTGTGCATTTGAGGACGATGTTCTACCATCAGGTATCTTTGTTCCAGCTGGGTGAGTCTTGATTCTCCCCTTTATTGTGCATCATGACTTGATATTTGAGTCTTGATTGGAGTTGAGAAACTGACGTCTTTGAATTCCTAGAACTGATTTCCGGTTTGATATCAGATTTCTTCAACGAAATCCAGAAGTGTGGGGCAAGGTAAGTGGCAAAATACAGATTCATATAGATCAATTGTCGCCTCAAAACCTAATGAAGTCTTGATCTGATAATTTGAAATAGGACGCAGAAGAATTTATACCTGATCGCTGGTTGGATGATCGACAAATTCAACAAAGGGAAGATCCATTCCGTTTTCAACCATTCAGTGCAGGTCCAAGGTTGTGTCTTGGCCAACAACTTGGTAAATTTTTTCATCTTTCTTAAAGAAGAAATTGTCTCCTTTTCTTCAAATGATCCCTTGGAACTCATGGTTATGGTTTTTTCCCTGTAGCTTATATGCAAGCATCAATTGTGTTGATTAGATTAGTTACTAATTTCTCTGGAGTGGAATTGGTGGGTAAATCTGCTTTTAAGGAAAATATTAAAGAATTTCAATCAATGGTTTTAAGCTTTAAAGATGGCTTATGGGTCAAATTTAAAACATGAATAAATTCAAACAAGACTAGACTATCTATGTATCTCCCTTGCACAAAAGTACCAGATCCAATCAATTTATTCCATATTTTTCTGACCCTTCACGCATTGCTTTGTGCATGCTGCTTTGTTGACCTCAGGAGTAAATCTGTAATCTGCTGTAGTGACCCAGGACATGATCTATTCAATCAAGTTTATGTTTCCCTCTGTTTTCTCCAAGCATTTTCTAGTTCAGAGCTTTGGTCTCACATTTTTTCCACATAGATTCTTTTGTTCATTCAGGACTGGATATGATAATATTATGATGTTTACCTTTCTTTTGGTAATCTGTGTACTTGTGTTAGCTCATCTTAGGTGGTCTTTTGAATTATAATCATTGGTAAATTGCTTTTGAGAGGTAACATCACATCAAAGCCTTTCACAAATATTCTGGTGTTAGAAGCAAAAATACAACAAGGACATAGAAAATTTCCACTGCCATAACTTTTTTCATAAATTCCTTAACTTGACTCCACTTGGTTAGCTCAAATCATCAACAAGGATCATGAATCATTTCAACTTGAGCCATTCTGTTGTCGAGAGACTTCAAAGAGACATACTCATTATGTACTTGTATAAAACTACTGTGATGACTGAATATCCAACTATATATATTCACTGCACTGGTATACTAATTCCCATCAAGGCACAACACACCACCATGTAAAGCCATTTAAAAATACAGAGGGTAGCTACAACCATACTTGTTTTGATGTCTTACAGACTGGCTTCAACAGTACCACATCTCTCATCATGATACAAAATACTGGATACCTCTAGACTTTGCTGCTGCTCATATCATTTGACAGGGCAGAAGGAATTAGTGAACAAACGCAATTTGGTAGTCCAGATAGGAAATGAGGCTGATGATAGTTTGAAATCATTTTCTTCACGCTGAGGCTTTCCATGCTGCCCTCAACTGACCAATTGCGGCGGCGATTCCACATAGCGCCGTGATAGACTCTGACTTGTATAAGCCTTGACTTAGTGACCTGCGAGAGGAAGCAGCAACAGAGACCAGATAGGTCAGTCAACAAACTCATACAGGAACCCAAGAATAGCATCATACCAATGCAAAGTCAAAGGGGCATATGCCAGATTGATCATCACTCCATTCATCAATGCTGCCCTTTGTTCATGATATTTCTGTCTGTCCTTTTTTTCAACATCTTGTTTCATATACTGGTCTTCTTCTTGATTAAGTTGTCGAATGCAATGCCACAGATAAGACAGGTGTAAGAAAGTATAGGTAGCCCAAGCTCTACACGAGTACAGCGAAGCCTTTGATGATATTCGAGTTGAGAATGGTAAAACGCTTTTAGCTGTCAGGAAATAAATGTGTTCCAACTGTAAAGGCAAATGATGCCGAGTTCAGCATTCCTCATAGCTTGGACATGCACGAGTTGCATCAGTTGCTCAACTGGGTAGTAGACTAGCATTGAGAGCACTTCCAGGCGCTCGATATCCAGAATTCGAGACACAACCGATCCTCGTGACCCTTTCAAAGACCTCCACCACTGAACCACCGCGACAAGGTCCAAAAGCCGGATACTAAACATCAAAGGATATGAGGTTCAGTCACAATTACTCGCCTGCGTATATCTTTTTTCGCTCATTTCGCTCTTACGTTGTCCTTGCCTCTGAAATCACTCCACTCAGTGCACCGAACCGCTGAGGTAGGCCTTTGGAGCCGATAGCAACTTTTGAGGTTCGATGATCGATCCTGCTCAAGAGAAGAGTCGAATATTGAATCAACATTAAACATTTATCAGTGCCGGAAGTGGTCGACAAGAGTCGAGACAAGCGCTCCATCTTGTCGATGGCCATCTTGTGTTGTTTATGCGTTCCATTCGTTCCATTCAACCGTCGATCCTATGACGCATTGATGATTGTCGGGTATCCTGATCATCGACTGGGGTATCCGGCACTGCGCAGCACACCGTACCCGGCTAAGGCCCCCACCCGAAGGAGTGAGTGAGTCCAATCGATCGAAAGAATCTTTTGACCAACACCAAAAATATTCAACAAAACATGGATTCCAGCAAACCAAGTCTTCTGAAACAAGATGTTACTCATGTTAATTCGCCATTTAGCTTTGATAGCATTTTTTCAGAAAAGTGAGTTTTTTACTTTTTCACGACATTCTAGTCTTCAAACTTGGAAATTCTGACTAGCCTTTTGGTCCCAATCAGCCCGTATTTCTCCGCTGGATTCGGTCTCATGGTCTGCCTTCACTCTCCTACAATCGATATTCTTCCGAAGTGTTCACACATGCCAAGGCTCTTTTTTACAGGGTCTCGGTGTCGGCCTCACAGCTCTTAAGCGCACCTCTACCCTCCTAGCGACCTTGGCACAACGTAGATTACTCGTGACTCTGGAAATTTCCTCAAAAGATCGATCCTATCTATGGTTCCTCAACTGGATGTCTCAACAAGCCCGCTCTAAATCAACCACTAATCAGCTCGCAGCAGAGACAAGCTACCGACAAACGCCGGATGGGTCTCACCAGGTTACCTTTTCACTGGTGCCCGGGCCTGGGAACCATTACTTCAAGTTCCAGCGAGCCTGGTTCCAGGTGGGACCGACTCCCAATCATCCACCTTTACCTGCGTGTTCGCTTCTATGTCATATACCAATTCACCTCTCGTCGCTCACGAATCTCAGGTCAAACGGGAACGCGATGGAAAACTAATCGATCTAAATTCCGGTACACCTTGGGAAACACTCATGCTCACTACACTCGCACGAGATCGACATCTACTCGTCCAACTTTTATCGGAAGCTAAAACAGTTTCAATGAAAACTGAAGAGGGCAGGATTGTCATTTATACTGCTTGGGGCGCTGAATGGAAACCTTTTGGGCAACCCAGAACCAAGAGACCGATCACCAGTGTTGTGCTTGATCAGGGTGTGAAAGAAAACCTCGTACGTGATATTGAGGATTTCATGGGTAGAGCCAAATGGTATGCTGAGCGAGGTAGGTTAAGAAACACTCCTTACTAGTGTCATCCTGTCAGCTAAGTCTCATGTGAGCTAACACCGATTTTTGTAACAGGCATCCCATATCGGCGTGGATACCTACTTCACGGCCCACCCGGCTCGGGAAAATCCTCATTCATTTTCGCACTTGCGGGACATCTCAACTATCATATTTGTGTCCTTAACCTGTCGGAACGTGGCTTGAGTGATGATAAACTCAATCATCTATTGACCAACGTCCCTGAGCGTAGTGTGGTATTGTTGGAGGACGTGGATGCAGCATTTCTCGGTCGTAACGGCACCGAACAGTGAGTTGTCCAAGTGAATAATTCCAGTTCTAGAAATTCCCTCTTGACTCTATATATGTTGCTCCCGGGCAAAACAGGATGAAGATCAACGTGACCTTCTCAGGTTTATTGAATGCGATCGATGGAGTCACTTCTTCAACCTCGCAACGGCTTATCTTCATGACCACCAATCACGTCGGCAAACTGGATCCAGCCCTCATCCGTCCAGGTCGGATAGATCTCTCTGTCTTAGTCGGTAACGCCACACTTCCTCAAGCCATGGAACTCTTTGTGAAGTTCTATGAGGATACTAGTGGTGGAATCCGAGAGGAAATGGAAAGCAGGCTGATGAGTGTCTTTAAGAATGGTGGTTCGTTTAGTATGGCTAGCTTACAAGGCTTATTCATTCGATATCGGGAACCAAGAGATGCGATTCGAGAACTGGAACAAATTGTGACTTATCCTCACACACTTGAATGAAGTAACGTTTGACTTTTCTTGTTCAATCCGGATCTATATCCATGTCGATGTATGTGGGGGCATATGAGATCTTCCTGCCTTGCAAAGTAGTTTGTGAGATAGAACAGGGTGTATACCGAAGTTTTGGTGACAAGATTGGCTTGTATTCTGGTATGATATGCAGCATTGATGCCTAGATCATCATGGGTCCAAAATAACTCAGGCTTTGCGTCCGGATACTATATACAGGATGGGCTGGATGTCAATCCTGGAGACTCGTCAGGTGGTGGGCGCGGATTTGCAGACAGGGGCGCGCCCAGGCGCAGGATCCATTGTCCGGGACGCGCCCAAATACCAGGGGGCGTGTGGGCGCGCCTTTGAAGCAAAAAAACATTAAAAACATGAAAAAATCTTCACAGAAACAGCAATCAAGGCTGTGATGAAGCTCAAACACAAATGGGGATGTGAGAAAAGCTGTTTCAAGTCAGTATGACCACACTTTCAAGATAAGAATCACTGAAAGTTTTTGTTCAAGAACTAGTTTAAGCGTCTCCGACTCAGATGAGCTCATCTGTAGGGCTTTCTCCGCCTTGAAAGTCAAACGGACCAGAATTACAATTTCATAGGCTTCCTCTAGCCCAAGATTAGGCCCAAGAAGACCTCCTACACTTCAGATTATCCAAGTCTTGCGTATGGGCGCGCCACCCCCTGTTTTGAGAAATGTTTGATGCACCCGGCGCGCCTGGGCAGGCGCGCCTTGTGACGCGCCCACCACCTGACTGGAGAGACCTGCTTGTGGTAAAGGCCACAAGAATTTTGTTTGAAAGCTTGTTCCCTGTGATTGGGTATGTAACCAATCAAGCCCTATCAGGGGCCACAATATGTGTGATGACTTTGTATCTGTGTGGACAACCTCAAGACTCATAGGAGGTCTGTGGAAGGGAAAGGATGACCACACTGTCAGCAAGCATGCCAGGTATACAAAAATCCAATGCTTCCTGGGGTTGAGATGACCTTTGACTCTGTCAAAAGCTTTGATGGAAGACTATTTCTTGGCCCAATTCCTTGATCCAACTGCTTGGATTTCATTTTCCCCATGCAATTGCTATCTGAGGCCACCTAGGAGTTTCATATATAAGGTGCTTTTGTTGGTAGTACAAGCCCCCTATGCTTGACTTGATTGAATCCCTCATTTGGAGTCTCCCCTGTCAAGTACCATAATTATGACATACTGAAACCAGGCAATTTTGTGCACATCCAGTAACCAAATGCTTCCTTAGCTAAGATGAGTATCTATGTTCAAGCCAGAATACAAGTTGGTAAAGGCAAGTACATAGCAAGTTGAAAGTGACCAAGTGTTTCAAAAATTCACTGAGTTTTTTTGATAAGTCAACAAGTTTTCAAAAAAAAAGTTTCCAAAAAAGTCACAGAAAGTCATGTTTGATATCTCAGTAGAGATATGATATAGCTCAACATCACTTCTTTGATCACCATTGATTGGTCAATATTAAAACTGGCCATTGTCCATTATCAGTGAATTGGAACACCTTAAAATACTTGGTAGCTTCCAAACCAATTCCAGCTGCTGCTATAGATATTGCTTTGTTGAAACCAGTGTTGTTTCAGCAAGATTTACTGAATCATCAAATTCCTCTTCATTTTCATTTGCAACCTTTACTTTCTGGAGCCTTGCACACTTACTGGAAGTAACTTATGACAACACTAGTTGTGACACAAACTGATTGACCTCAATCTGGAAGAGTTATGTCTTACTGTCTCCAAACTTGGTATCTGTGACTCTTCAAGTACACTTTTTTTTGGAACCTTGTTGTTTTTTTTAAAAAAACTGGCGACTTTTTGAAAAACTTGGCCACCTTAGGAAAAACTCAAGGTTTTTTTTTGAAAACTTGAACTTTTTTTCCTCTTCAAAGTCAACAATTATGCAAAGGTTTTACCCCTTCATTCCCCCATAAATTCATCATGATACCTTGGTACATTAGGTATGGGTAGGTTACAATTAGGGTACTCAAAGTACCTTGAGTCAGTTCATAATTTGTTACTCATGGTAATCAAAACAATTAGGTTCAAACAACCTTTTTCAAAAAGTTGTCAAAACCATAGAATCAAGGTTGTTTTTCTGGTGGGGCTATTTTTGTGAATTTTTTCATAAATTTCTGTACAATTCATTTTCCCCAAAAGAATGATAATTTGAAATTAGGTTTCCAAAAAAAGGTGGCTCAAACCAAATTGTTTTGAGTCCTGTAACTGTATCTCAATGAAATGCAAAGCACAGTTTCATTCAAAAAGAACTATGTATGCGCCAGATTATTGGATCCTTTGAATATTGCTATCTTTGGGTTTTGAGTCAGCCTGAGCCCCAACCCGAAAAACACAGGTAATGGCCTACCCGCACCCCAAACCGATACCCAGTAGGCTCCCCTGCGCCCAAACCCTACCCAAACCGATCAAAACTCGGCTTCCAGAAGGCCCCCCCGACCCCTGTCCTGGAGGCCTAAAACCTGCGGGAAGCCAGGGGTCCCCGCAGATAAGATCAGGGGTTTGAGAACTAGGCCCCCCCACCCCTAAACCCTACAGGCCCCCGATGTACTGGGGTCCCAAAAAAGGTGACCAAACCCGCACCCTGAGGGCTCGGGGTTCAGGGAACCCTTGGGGCATCGGTTTTGGGGCTCAGGCTGAGTTTTGAGTTCCTTGAATATGATATCAAATTTTGATTCTGCAGAGCAATCATGCTGGGGCTAGGCTTTACCAACCGCAGGCCAATTTTGTTTCATTTTGGCCAATGCTCTGAAGCCTCTCATATCTCACTGCTCTCATTTGTTCTGACATGTTCCCTGCAAAGCCATCATACTGCATACCAATTTGAACTCTAGTAAGTCATGACACCTACCCAAGACATGCTATCAGACATGCTTCAGAGAGTTTCAGCTGTAGGACAGTTGAATTTTAAGCTTCAAACACTTCTTTCAACATTGGTGTGACCAATCTGTACATTGTACATTTACAATACAGCTGGGGTGATATTGGGTGTGTGGTCTTTGTGAACCCACACATTGGGCCTGGGAACGGGACCATGCCTGGGTGTCACTGGCTCTTGCAGGCAGCAAATTGCTGTAGGTCAGACTCATGGTAAGCAAGTTGTTCTTTTGCACTGAGCAATGCTTATCATGCTTCTTAATGTGATCGCCTGGATACACATAATAAATGGAGGTTATACAGGGATTTGAAAGTGAGAGATATTCCCACCAATTTCCCCTTCTCAGACCAAACCTTGTGAACCAACCCCTAAAGACCCACCACAGGAGCTGGGTGCACCAATTTTTTTCAGGTTTTGTGGGCACTGTCAGTACTTTTTTGCACATCTTTTTCTACCCTCCCCCAATGTGAGGCTGGAGATGCAAAAATATACCATTCAGTCTTGGATTCTGGCACAGAAAGTACATCCTGCAAGTTGCCTAACATGTCCTTTATTAGACCTTATGATTTACCAAACAAAATCACTTGGTAGTATGGCATAGCCCTTCTCCTAGACTTGATATATTTGAAAAGGTGATGATGTCATGGTAATGGTCTTCCAGTGTGTGTCATGAAAGCCCAACTACCTGTCCAGTAAATCTTGGCCATTATAGCCTGTGACTCAAGTGCTGGGCATAATTTCTATGCACACAAAAACAAGGCAAATGGAACCTAGTTAAGGTGACATAGCTCTCTGATATCAGGTGGCAGGCATGGCATGCCCAGGTGCAATCTTTTTCTCAAATATAAAGGTCACCCTTGAAGCTAAATAGGTCAGAAAAGCCAACCTGTGCCCTTTCTCACACCCACTTGGAAGGAGTTGCCACACTATTGATCTCCAGTGATTGAATATTCACTCATTGACCTGTCTACTATGGTACCAAAACAGACATGGCTTGAGCCTCTCCCAGCCATGCCAAATGGAATGAATTTAAAGCATTCAACATTTGCCACAACAATGCCACACAAAGTTCAACTTTTGCAAGTCAGACACTGAAGATGAAGATTACACCAAAAAGTAGAGTGCTGATAATCTCACTCTTCAATATTGAGTGAAAAGGCACCCCATGTACATACAAAAAATGTCTTGTTTCTTGTCCCTCATAAATGCCTTTCTGTGCACCTCTCGTACCCTTAGGAAAAAAGTAGCGCCCGGCGCCAAGTCAGGCGCGCCCACCTCTGCTACCACTCAAGATAAGGTCCCATCCCTTATTTTATGGAAGTTCCAGATCCTGCTGAAATGGAAGTAAATGGAGGTCATCATGTGCATTGGGAATGGGTACCATCTTGGTGTTTGCTTTACATTGAGAATACAATCATACAATCAATCAAACCATGATCATGGGGTGTATGCATCGCAACAGAACGTTCCTAGTTAGATATGAAGAAGATGAGAATGAGTTTTTCTCATGGCGAGTAAGAGAAGCGGAGCTCACAAACATCTTTCACATTCTAATACGATGCAATGGAGCTTTTACTCGAAGTTCGAAGATGCCATACATCACACTTATCCGGTCTCCTGATTTTGCTTGACTTGTGACCAATTATCATCCTTCATTTCTTTCGCCGGATGTTCCCATACGTCCCCGAAGAGTCACCCAGAACCTCGTCCAGGAACGCTTCGTCATCCACTAATTTTGACAATTCACATCTTAGCTGGAATTCTGGATCAAGTGCAAAACGGTCAAATTACTGACACGGCCCAACAAGTGCAGTTGCTCGGTCCCCCTCGCCAGAGTCTTTCGATACAGACGCAGCTGTGCTGCCTTGTTGATGTTTGGCTAACCTCCTAGCTGGTGCTTTTGATCGAGCTTTTACATCTTTACCCGAGAAACGCGCACGTAATTCTGTGATGATTATTGGATCCAAAGTTAACGAGAGGAGGTTGAACACCTGATTTGACGATCAAGTACAGCATACCTCGACTAGCATCCGCCTTTTTACGTTCGTCGTCAAGTTGAGAAAGTTCAGAAGCTTCCTCCGCGGACAATTGTCGTAGGTTGTGAATCTTTCTAGGTTGAAGGAAGAGATGAGAGAAGGCATGATCGACGTCGTCATCATCCTCTTCAGGTGCCAATGGTATTGGTGCTGTCGTCAAACAAGCAGCTTGTTTCCTGAGAAATTCGCTTAAATCGACCTCAGGTTCGGGCTCTAAACAAGACACACTTGATCAGCAAATAGATCACAGAGGTACAGATTCCAAAGGTCTTGAAATGAACCTGCGTCAGGCTCAGGTTCGGGTTCATGATATCTATCCAGATTTGTATCAATCCGACGACGAGCGTAGTTTTGGTCTTCCTCTTCCTCTTCTGGTTCTATCTCCTGATTTTCATCATCTTCCGCTTTGGTTTCATCATCTTTTTTGAGTGCGGGAAACTTTTCAGTATCATTGGAGACTGTATTAGATGATGCAGCTTGATTCTTTGCACGATTTGATTGAATTCCTCCATGTGTAGCTCGATAACGGCGAGAGTTAGCCTTTGAATATTTGTCTTGAATTGTCATGGGTATGGACGGACTTGGTAGGCCTGTTTGCTGATGAATGAAATTTGAATGAAGGTGGTAAATAAAAATCGTAGGTTCCTCAACTAAACTGAGGAAATGAAGTTACAGGTACTTTACATATGTACAACTTCGATATACCGTCGGTCCCGAACGTTCAATTTCACAGCTCACTGCTTTTCCAGATGCTTTACTCAAGGTATTTATCACGGATCCCATTTAAGAATGTCTCGAGAAACTGATATCGATCAAGCTACCCCAACCGAACCACCGGTAACTCATGAGAAAGGCATCCAGATGAATTGTAGATCAAGTCTTGGTTCACCTATTCCTTCCAATCTATCTATCTCCATACGTTCAGCATCTCAACAAGCCCTCGATAGACTTCAACGGAATCTCGCATCAGCAAACCAGCTTCGAAAGATTGGTTTGCCCAAGAGACGTACCTCCTTCATTGGGAATGCTACTCCTGAACATTCTCCCCAGCAGATCTTACAGATTGCGATCAAAAAATGGATATGTTGGTCACTTTCTTCAAGACCTTTGGAACCACCTATCCTGCTGTTTGAATCTATCCTGACATCGCCCTCTTATGATCTTTAGTCGTGTTCTTCTCTGTGCAGGGGGTCATCGGCAGTGGTTCATTGGCGTTTGCACTTTTGAGAAAGAATCGTGCCGCAAAAAGAGGGTACGTGTTGCGAAGACTTGTGCGTTCCCTCGGCATCATGACGTCTACATCAACTGTCTTCTGATATTTGGAGTATTTTACCTATCAGTGAAAAAAGACCGCTGTTACAGGTGATCACGTCTGAATTCATGAAAGCTACCACGCTTCGATTGGCCACCTTTCTAGCATTGTATTCGGCTATATGGACTTTAACTTATACTTCACTTCTGAAACTCTCTCGAAAGCCGCGCCCAGAGGCTCGAACACCAGGAATCGATGAATCTAAAACTATCTTCAGAAAGGACAATCCTACAGCCCATAAATTGATGGAGTTCTTATCCACGTGGGCTGCCTCCATTGCTGGAGGTGTGTCTGGGCTAGCACTTCTGGCTCAGACAAAGGAAGAACGTATCAACCTGGCTCCCAATGTGCTGTGCCGGTGAGTCCTGATTATCAAACGATGCACAGATTCTTGCTTACCGCAACTCTTTTGATCCATGTACGCTATGTTGCCGAAGAGGACTTTACACGCTAGCAAAACATCGACCATTGATAAAAAACTTTGCCTATGGTGATTTGCTTCTCTTTGCGATTTCAAATGCACAGATCATGTCTGCCTTCGTGATGGAGCCAGAGACGCTACCAGCATGGTATTGGCATTGGATTCGACGTGTGGGAAGACTCGACGCCCAATTCCTTTATCTTCATGGACATCTTAATCGTGGATCACTAAAGGATATGACCATGATCAAACAAGTCCTCGAAAGAAGTTCCCCACGCAGCTTGGGAAATGAGCGTCGACTTGAAGCTTGGCTCAGTCTGCCTTCTCCCTATAAAGAGCCTTTTGCACCTTGTCATCTCAACCATCCACTGTACGATAATTGCTTCCAGAGCAACTTGATCCGAGCTGGGATTGCCTTCAAATCAATGCTACCCACCTATGCTATCCTCCACCTTATACCAGCGCTTCTGTTTAGAAGCAAAGTAGTCATGAAATCGTACGTGTTTTGCTTTTGCTTAGTTTACATTAGAATCTCTCATATCTTGAGGTGACCATTTATCTTATTGCCCACCATTCTCACAGCCCTATCCGATTCCTTTACTCACTCGCCAAGAAATCCATCTCATCTGCTCTTTTCCTTGGTAGCTTTGTGGTTATCATATTACATTCTCTTTGTATTCCTTCAAGATTGTACGAATGGAAAGGGTGGCATATTCGAGGTTCAACTAATTTCGCTATTGCCGGTTTTGCAACTTCCTTGGCTTTACTTTGGGAAGATCCCCGTAGACGAGGTGAACTTGGTAAGTCTCTTTAAGCTTAATTCTCAGAATATACTCGTAGAGAAGCTCACTTGTGTCGGCATCTTTTCATATACTATCCTTCAATCAATATGGTATGATATCCTTAGCCCTTTATTGTGCTCCTAAGGCAATCAGTTCAGCTTGGGGTGTACTCAAATCTCAAAATCTAGTTAAGAGTATGCCTTTTGGCGAATTAGCGCTCGGTAGCGCAGGTACGGCAATGTTGATGCATTGTTTTGTCCATGCACCTGAAAAGATGCCATCCTTGATCAGAGGAATCATCTCTCAACTCGTTGACCCTCATACTCCTGATCGTAGCATATCAGTGACTGCTTTACCGCGACCGCCAACTTTGACTTCTAGTCCTTTGACTAAAGTTGATGATGATGAAGGATATTTAACGATTGGGAAAGGTCGTAAATGAATCAGTCAAACAGTTTGTGGATCTTGTCGTATTCTTTTCCAAGTGATGTTTTGTTTCCTTTAAGTTTTAGGGGTGTTCCTTTTTATATATCGATTTTACATGTAATTTTTTTTGTTGCAAATGTGTATTAAATTGTTTTTTGTAACAGCGGTTTTTTTCAAATGGTGTTTTATACTAGTTTCAGGAAGTATTATCAATGAAATGGGATAATGTAAATATCTCCAGATGATATTTCACATTGAAGGGTTGAAGTGGGCTTATTCGTAGACAACTTGGTGAAAGATACGAGATTAGACAGCAACTGTTCATCAGCCCTTTCCACGCTCTGCCTACTAGTACCAGATTGAAGACCACGGATATGAAAAACAAAAATTCGAAAATAACAACCGGAACATTTGGCTTTGAAACAGCTGTAGAATTGTGGAGACAATTGTGGAGACATTTGTCGCATCAAGGAACCCAAGGGATTAAAGAATCATTCTCCCTAGAGGAAAAGACTGCTGCACAAGAGTTCCGATCACAGTTTTAGGATTGTCGTATCAGGAAGCGGCGGATGAATCTTAATGGAACTGAACCCTTGGAGAGAAACTCGAAGTCTGAATCCAGTGGTATCACCAGTCTTTAAAGGAGATCAATGACCAGCCGACAACTATGCAATAGTAGTATGTAGTGAGCAATTGGAAACTCATTCAATTGAATCTCATTTTTCTCTGAATACCTAAACTACACAAAGTCCTTCTCTGCTTGTTGCACACTCAAAGAGGGGTTAGAAGTAAGGCAGTAAAACAGAAACGTCAACAAGTCTTGTTGATCATATCTCTTGAATTATCTCGGTGAGCGTTAATTTGAAAGTGAAAATGATAAATGTGACAGGCACAACAATGCAGATTGCTTGAAAGAAAATGATGCGAGACATGAGATGTAAAAAAGGCATTAAGAGACATGAGATGTAAAAAGTCATTAAGAGACATGAGGTTTAAAAAATAATTAAGAGACATGAGCTTTAAAAAAACGATTAAGGAAGAGACAAAGATGGAAAAAAGGTTGGTCAGATTCCAGAACAGTCACAGTGAATCGCCGTAGGATATCATTTCAAAAACGAGTAACTTTAATACGCTTGACTTGCATGCTTTATGACTGTGTTTGGAATATCCAAGATTCAGGAAGAGAAGGCCCAAAGGGAATCACATATCTATGCCATGTCCAAAGAGAAACTGGGACAATCCCTGCTTGTCCAAGACCAAATTCCAACCTGGCAAGAAAGGTGTATCAATCATTTCAGTTCCAAAAGTTATTCATTCTGATTTTCATTTTCCTGGCTTACCATTTACTGATGGTATGCAGTTGTAGAGTAAATAGGACGCTGTAGGTCCATACCTTTCCTAAACCTCCGCCTACTCTCTTGCCCGTGACCACGGTAAACAGATACTCAAAACCGACTGCAGCCGCACTGTATATCCAACATTTGGCAGTACCCCATGTTGGATCCGGGGCAGGAGCAGAAGATATCACAACTGAAAAAAGCAAAGTATGAGCAATCCACTTGCATATGTAACCATAGGTAATTACGAGGTATGAACAATATTTACCATATTCATGAAAGAAGGCACTGAAAAGCATTGCGCTGGTGTTACCTACGAATGTACTGAGAGTTCGCCCAAAGGGGGAGAACAGGCGTGCAACCGGCGCACCCACACAAAAGACAATATCGCGACGAAGTGCAGCGTGCCATCCTATTTTGATTGACGCATAATTGTCGTCAGCCAGTATTCGCATCCACCAGACCGCCTAGACGAAAGCCTGAAAAATTCACCTTTGGACCAAAACTCAGCTATGCTGGATTGCCCCCAAAGGTTGGGATAGATGGGTGAGTAGAGTGTGCTATCGAATGGACCTGGTGCAAGCGTCTTCGGTAAGATCCGAGGACCAAAGCAATATACTGCTAGATCTGCAAGTGTCGCCAAGTTACACAAATTTTCTACGGTAAGCCACGTAGCAAACTGTACATAAATATTTCAAAGTTAAAGAGAACATGATTTGTTGAGAAAAATTCCAGGCAGCTTGAGATACTTTACATCAGGTGAAAATCAACTGACTGCGAAAGGTATTCCATTGAGGTACGGAGCTAAGATCTTCAATAAGCGACCCTCTGGTAGCCCGCATTCTTGGGTCAGAAAACCATAGCATCCCTGCGGATGCTGTGTAATCATGACGCCCACAAACCACCATGATACAAACATAAAGTGATGCTTCAAAGTATTCTTCATGGTCTTTATAAAGAAATCCCACATGGACAGCTTGGGAGCAGGAGGTAAAACAGATTTTGGAGGAGCCCAAGTAGTTCCAACAAACCGAGGGCTGATTGAGAGCAGAAGGAAGAAATTCAACTTTTCGTAATCCAGTCATTTTCTCGGGTTTTTGGAATTGGAATTGGAATATGTCTAGGACAGCATAGCAACATACCTAGTAAGTAACCAAACAGTAAACTTGATCAAGTCACCCCATGAAGGGGCTGATTGTACGTCGATACGTGATGACAATTTTTGTGGATTATCTTTACCCATCTTTTCCTCGGCTTTGAGCTTATCTAAAGGTTTTGTTGCGACAATGTGCATGTATAAGAGCGTGTTTCTGGAAGGTAGAATTGTGATACCAATGCTTACTAGATACTGGCAGGGGAGGGTCCTGTGAGAGCCCGAGTTGTATTGCAAGACATACGATATGCACTGTGAGGAAGGAACTGATTGTAAAATTAACATGGAAGTTCTTGTCACGAGGCTCGAAGTGTCGATCAAGATTGCTTGTCAATGCTAAGTATATTGTCGCTGGCATGAGTAACACCCGTGCTGCGCTTGCCGCCTTGCTGTTCGTGTAATACGGATGTCGCCAGAAGGCCTGCAATGCCAACGGCACTGTAAACAGGTAAGGAGTTATGGATGTCGCCATTGCCATTTTCGAAAGATGAAGCGGCGGGGTTGGTTGAGCGGCCAGGATTTATTAGATGACGCTATTTATGATAAGATGGACGGGTTCGAATGTGGGCATAGTGTGCTTTCCAGCGCACTGAGATACCTTTTCGTACAGGCTCGCCGAAAAATTCGTGTACGGCCGTGATGACGTGAAAGGGGTCAGGACGTGAATCAATGTGTGGACACTGGGAACAGGTCTCACAACACCTGTCTCAAAGGGAGACTTGTTTTACCGATTGCCAAAGAATGCTGCGTGGTCTTGCGTGGGACCCCTAACCTATACACCGGGGAACTCATAGGTCCCTGCTGTCAACTATTGTCAACTGGCAGGTCTGGTTCCTCTGGTTCGTCTAAGTTCTATGGGCAGCGATGAACGTCTTCCACTTTCGTGAGCAATTAGGGTGTTCCTAACTTAACAAAGTCCCTCGATGCTGCGACAGCTGTCATTCAAGCAAGTTGAATCCGCATGTCGCAGCATGAGGGACTTAGAGCATCTCCAACGCGACTCTGTAAACGTAAGTTTAACGTAGCCATTTAGACATAAACGTAAGCTGTAATTTACGTTTAGCGGTTTGGCCACAAAAACCAACCTCCAGCGCGCACATGATTTGTCACAAGTTGCCATGTGTGTGATCCCTCGTTTTCAGCTTCGCGGTTCTCTCGTGTCAAGTTCTCGAAATCGCTAGGAAAAATTTGACGTTTGGAGAATGACAGAGGAATGTCAGAGTTGCCGCGTATTGGACGAACGTGGTAATCTTATTCCCGCATTCAGTTGATCACAATCGATGATCACATCATCGATTGTGATTGATGGCATCTTATTATCAACTTGGAAGATAAGTATCTGGCATTTACGGCAGCCGCATAACCTTGGGTGGGGGCACCTCAGGTGCGCGTTGGAGGTAGTCAATTCTCAAAAACGAATACAGCCTGCTGTACTTCTTCAGCAGGCCCAATTCGGATGTGCGAGCCGACCCCTCCCCGTCGGGGATCTTCATGTACGTCTTCAGACCGCCCCCCGCCACCGAAAATCGGGGGCCTACCGAAATATCGGTTCCCCGTCGGTTCCCCGTCGAGTGTTAGTCGGTAGAGCTTGCTAGATCAAAAAAATTCATAAATCTGCTTCACGAGCAAGTTCCGGCTGATATTCTACTGTTTCGTACAGGTATTTCATTGTATTTGATTCCTTATACTGATGTATGAGTTGTTACGAGGCCTTCCTCACCTTTCATTTCTCCCTATCTGCCCTCGATTCTACAGCTCTCTGCTATAGCTCGGTTCCCCGATAAAAACCGGGGATCCTCATACTCTTGCCCGGTCCCCGCTCCGTCGGAGTCGGTACGGTGCCGGGGGGCTGAGATACCTAGCCCGAGGCACCGTACCGACGGTACGGAAGCCGGAGATCCCCGAGCCCGCGGGAAACGGGGCTCATGCTGAGGCACCTCAGGTGCGCGTTGGAGGTAGTCAATTCTCAAAAACGAATACAGCCTGCTGTACTTCTTCAGCAGGCCCAATTCGGATGTGTATGAGTTTTACAGATACCGACTGCGTTGGAGATGCTCTTACACCTAATGTCTGCTTTTCGGCCTGAGGGCTAAGAATATTGTTGCGGGTGGAATCTTATTTATCCCTTCAATGTGTGCACACCGAGGAACATCGACCCTCCTTGGAATCAGACATGCGGGAGGTCTGGCTACACATCGTACAAGTCGAACCATCACCCTCCACCATTTACTTCTCGAAATATTCAACAAGGAATTGGTGTTGTCTTTATATGTAGCTACATTAAGTCAGGGGACTTATTCCCATTGCAGAGCTAGCAAGCTTATTTTGGCGGATGACAGCATTAGGTATCCCACTCCCTCGGCTCAGCAACTCTTCCCACTTCCTCCACGTGCGGGATAGGGTTATGGCTTTACAAAAATCATTACTAAAGACATTTTCAACTCATTTCCCAAATATCTCGAGAAGGAATGGGCGGATGTCGATGATTCGACTTGTACAATGTGTAGCCAGACCTCCCGCATGTCCTATTCCAAGGAGGGTCGATGTTCCTCGGTGTGCTCACAGAAAAGGGATAAATAAGATTTCTCCCGCAAAGATTTTCTTAGCCCTCAGGCCAAAAAGCGGACATTAGGCGTAAGTCCCTCCGGTGCAGACATTCCTGATTCAACTTGTTGATTGACAGGGTGTCAAGCCTCGGAGGGACTTTGTTAAGTTAGGGGTGTTCAAACCTGTGCAAGAACTGTGCAAGACCAACGTGCAAGATCCGTGCAAGATCCGTGCAAGATTTCTTGCACTAATCTTGCACATTAATTTTTTTGACAACCCGAGTTATTGTGTTCCAAACCGTGCAAAAACCGTGCGAGACCGACTCTTGCAAGTTTTGTGCAAGATCCGTGCAAGTTCTATTCATATCTTGCACAGAACTTGCACAAAACTTGCATGAATTGATTTTGAGGTTTGAACACCTACAGTCGAATTCAGAAAGTATGACCAAAGTTTGCCCCCACAGCTCAAGTAAAAGGTAGTGTTCTAGAGTGTTCTTGTCAAGCGTCGCGTGCGTGATTGACTAGGATTGACTATAGTGCTATATGTCAAGCGTAACCGGTTGGTTCTTTGCCCGGTCACTTCGCCGGTTGGTGTTGCTCAAAATGTCTACAATCTTGGATTAGAGTTGTCATGGTTTTTTCTGCTAAGGCAGGAGATCTGGTGAGGTCTCTCAAAATACGAGCACACTGAAGCAAGTGTAAATAGGCAATTGAGATATTAATGAATAAGCCATATGGCTTATTCATGTGTGCTGGTATTTCTTTGTTACATCATACGCACTTGTGATCATGATGACATGATCAAAATGATGACATGATCAAAAGGTTCACTTTGCTCTTTACCGTTGTTTCCTTTCAAGCTGAGCCCCGAACCAAAAAACCCGGGTAGTCACCTACCCGGTCCAAAAACTGGTAACTTTGAGTGTACCCGGTCCCGGTCCCGGTCCCGAGCAAAAGTAAGAAAAACCCGGTGCTCTAGACCACCCCCGGTCCTGAACCCGGGTAACCGAGGTAAACCCGAATTTTCCGGGGCCCCGCGGGTAAACCCGATTGTTTGCGGGGCCCAATCACGGAGAAAAGAAAAAAAAATCAATATTCAATAGTTCTTTCATGTTCGGCCAGAATCCTTGCATCAAACCGATGGAGATTCCAAACCACCTCACCGATACCATCCATCCAACTATTGATATGTTATCCATGTCTTCTGTTGCATCTACTCCCGCTTATACCCCAGCCCCCTCCGGCCGTTCAGACACTTGTGATGATGGTTCATCCGTCAAACGGAAACAAGTCAGCTATGTCTGGAGTCACTTTACGAAGGTCAAGGGCGCTACCAAAGGCACCGGTCACAACTTATGCAAAGTAATCGACCCCAAGACTGGAAAACCCTGTGGCACACAGATGAAGGAAGATATCTATGGAAGTACAAGATCGATGGCTGCTCACTTGAAGAGTAAGCATAAGATTTACGAGGATGGGCCAGCAAAGAACCAATCGAGTGTTGTTGGTTACTTCAAGAAAAGCGTGATTGGGAATCCGGTGAGTCATGAATACTCTCTCTACCAACTCATTTGATTCATCCTTCTAATATTTTTTCTTTCCTTGTTTCTTTCTCTTGGTACTTGATAGGAAATTCTCAATAGGGAGACTCTCAAGACTGCGCTCACCTACTTCATATCCGATTGCGATCTCCCCTATGCCATAGTCAACCGACCATCTTTCAGAGACCTTCTTCAATTGGTCAACGGTCAAACTAGTGGAATGCTAGTGCAACGACATGCGATTGCTCAGCACTGCAGCAAAGTTTATAACCACTACAAGAACTTTATTCAGTCCGAGTATTTTGATTGAAGCGACTATGTAGCCTTAACGCAAGCCGTGTGGACCTCACCTAATCATCACGGGTTCTTGGGAATCACTAGCCACTTCATCACTAAAGATTGGAAGCTCATGGACATCGTAACACTGCACAGATGTAGTATTTTTTGGCTACGCAAAATGATTAGAATTAATGTCAAAAATGATTAAAAATGCTATGTTAATGCATAAAAATGCACCATTAATGCACCATTAATGAAAAAAAATGCAGCATCAATGCAGAAAAATGCAGTTTTAATGCACATGCAGAATGAATGCAAAATTCCACCTTTTTCAATTTTGTTTGTCCTTCAGGTCAATCATCTTTCACTTGGGAAAAATACTACATTTTCCCAGTGTAATTGGAATGCCCAATATTGAAGGTAAGTCTTTTTTTGTACATCTTTTTTTTCTTAATAGATTGTTTCTGACTAAACTATCTACCTGTCTCTGCTATCTAGGTGCCCACGATGCCAATAACTTTGTTGAGATTATTGGCAAGTATATCCGGGAATACAATCTGGGCTGGAAGGTAGCGGGCATGACTGCCGATAATGCCAGCGTGAACGTCAAGATTGGACGATTGCTTTTGGAAGAACCCAACATCAACTTTTCCGAGAATCAGCTCTTGGGATGCTGCACTCATGTCATCAACTTAGCCGCCAAGCAAGGCCTCAAGCTTTTTGGAGACACCTCGATCGAAGACAAAGAAACCCTACCGCCATCGTTAATGAATATTGTGGACTCTCCTGACAACACCTCTGTCAAGCTCAACACCATCTATGCTCGTATACACGGACTTGCAATGTACACTCGAAAAACCCCTCAACAAAGTCAGAACTTTGCAAAGGTGATAACTCTCCTTCAAGATTCAGATTCAGATGATGGTGAAATCAACAATCAATTTGATGATTGAAATGCAACCAAACAACTCGATGCAAATGAAGATGACGACAAAGATATTGAAGCTCAACTAGACAAAGATGCTGCCGAGTTCTTCCAGTACCGCACACCATCAAACCCCGATGAAGATGTTAATCATCAATCTCAAACTTCGACAACGGCTGGTCGAGCCAATAGGTTGATGATTGATGTCTCAACCCGATGGAACTCGTCATACCTAATGCTTAAACATGCACTTTGATTGAAAGAGGCCTGCATCAAGTTTTGTGAACGGCGAGAAGCCCTCAAGTTTGCATTATCCCAGTTAGAGTGGGGCTACGTTCAGCAAATGTGCAACTTCCTTGAGCCTCTCAGTGAGGCTACCGATATGTTATGTCAAAGACGATACCCTACAATGCATGAAGTAATTCCTATTTATACAGTCATCATTGATGGTTTGATGAAGGTACGTGATCTCAACTATTCATTTCACTCCAAGTAATATCATATTTATTGTTCAATTTCTCTTACTTCAGGTCAAGGAAAAGTATGACCACACTCAGCTTATACCAGCTGCCAAGGACATGCTGAATAAGCTGGAAGAGTACTTCAAACAAGCACTAAAAAACCAGCACCCGTTTGTGCAATGATTCTAAACCCTTGCCTGAAGATGAAGTTTTTTGAGGTAGGCAAATCTCTACTTATCAACAATTAGTGATGATTATTGACCAAGAAGAATTTATCTAGGATCGAGCAGACTTCTTTATGAACTACGGCATGACTCCCCACAACTTCAAGCAACAGTTCATCAATATGGCATCCGCATTTTCCTCTGTTCCTCCAAGCTCCGAAGTCAAGAAAACAAAGGCAAACCCAAATCGCTTTGCCGAAGCCATCTACGGAAGCGATGAACCTACCATATACAACACTATCAAGAGTGAAATTCATCGCTATTTAGGTGATTGTGATCGACATCGGGGGGATGTATTATCTTTTTGGAAAGGGAAAGAGGACTCCCTACCAGGACTTGCCAAGATGGCAAAGATGTACCTCACCATTCCTGCTACTAGCACTCCATCTGAGGGAGCTTTTAGTAAGATGAAGCGTATCATAGGACCTCAACGAGCTTCTTTATCTCCTGCAAGTGTGGAGATTCTTTTGTGTCTTAAAGAGTGGTTCCGCCTCTTTGGGCCTATGTATTTCCCTCATAAACTTAACTCAACCAACAATCAGATTGTAATCGATGATGATTGACATTCACAACTCAATTTTCATCATAAATTTTTTGTTTTCTAATTTTATTTTTTTATTCTTTCTTTTTCACCACTTTCTTCACGGGGTTACAACTTCACTGTTGTTTTGTTGTACTCTTTCCATTAGTTTGAAATCAATTTGTTTGCTCAAAAGCCACGGGTTACCCGTGGGTTGGGTACTTTCTAAAAACCCCCCGGCTTCCAAAACCGTTGGGTTAACCGATGTATCAGGGGGTCAAAAAGCCTAACCAAAACCGCAACCGGCGGGTTGGTTTCCGGGTAACCCAAGGGACGTCGGTTTCAGGGCTCGGCTTGAGTTTCCTTTTCTTTATCGAATCCAAGCTTACTTTATCTCAAACAACTCTTCTTTACCAATGTAATTGATTTTCAACCCCTGTATCTTGACTTCGTGGGTTTTCGGTTGAATGATCAAGGTTCAAACAGATTATATAAAAAGAAAGCTTACCTCACCAGTTAGAACAATAGACCTTCAAAACAACAACATCATCAAGAACTCCGACTTATTTGGACTATTGACTTGGAGGCTAATAAGTTAGTCAGATATTGCAATATCTTGACGGACGGGGTCAAGCAAGGCTCTTTTACCAAGTCGGTCGCTCTTGGACCTTGAAAGCTTTGGTCGGATTGGAAATTTGGTTGAATTTGAACCTACATCACCACAGCTTGTGTGGTTCGTGAAATGAGGCAACAGAGATACAGGCAACGGTCCCAATCCAAGGCCGGGATTGATCTTCCAGTGCACAAATGGGGAATTGGTTTGGCAGCGGGGTAATGAAAATCGGCGAGTCAAATTTTTGGACACAGGACAACCTGAGGTCTGATTTGTGTTTTGTATCTGAAAAGAGACCAAAGAGATCTGCCAAAAGCAAACATCCGTGGGGGGGCCACTACAAAACTGTATGTAAAGAAGTAAAAAAAAATTAACAAAAAAAACTGATGTGGAGCAAATTATCATGGAGAGGGAGGGCCAGAGGGAAAATAAAAAACTATAGTATGGGATCGTAGAATTTTGCGAACTTTGATTTGCAATGATCAATGTTCGCAAATTGTATATGTCGTAAAATTCGAAAATACCTAGGTATTCTTCAATTTTACAGACATTTAATAATTTTAAATGCATGTAAAAAAAAGGTTCGGAAAAATTGTCCCGCAAAAGTAGTACACAGATGGGGCTTTTTCGAATTTTACGGTTGAACTTTTGCAACCAATTTGCTCCGCAAAAAAAAACATACGCAAAAGTAAATTTCGTGGGGGTATTGTTGAATTTTGTAGCCATTAAATACGGGGAGGGGGAATTTTACACCGACTCTTTTCCACCGAAACATCATGTGTAAAATCGAGTCAGTGTAAAATTCCAAAACAGGGTTGGGTTCTTAGAATTTTACACTTGTCTTGTATTTTTTATCTCGGTGTAATAAAATTCAGTGTAAAAATTCCAGTGCAAAAGTCATGTGGCCGGTGGTAAGGTTGAATTTTACACTGATTTCTTTACACATGATATGGCGGTGTAAAAAAAAACGGTGTAAAATTTGAGATTAGACAGGCAAAGTACAATTTTGCACCCCCAAAATTTACACCGGGTGTGTCTGTGTAAGCAGGTCATGTGCAAAAATGTAACATCGGCACGCCTAAATTGATTTTTGCACCGAAAACTTTACGCAGACTTGAGAACAAAAACACGGGAGATAAGCGCACAAGAAACATTTGTATGGGTTTATAGTCGACGCACAGGCATACAGGAAAGAAAAAGAAGTTCTTTCATAACATAGAAAGAACAAAAAAAAGACAAATCACTATTCCCTCAACTTCTTAAGCCGCTCGCGGTTCTCCGCCGCAGCCTGGCGCCCCTTTGCAGCTGCAGCTTTGCGCTTATCAGCTGTAGCCTTGCGCTTATCAGCTGCAGCCTTTCGTTTAGCCGCTGCAGAGCTGTCTTCCGCTTGTGAGGGATCAGACTTGTTTGTAGCATTGCGCGTGCGCTTGGTACCTGTATGCAGCATTGGGAACAAGTCAGTGTCCTGCAAAGAACCATGAAAACTAGTTAAGGAAGGGACATTACGTGGTTGGACGTCTGTGGAGGCTACTGGTGGTGCAAGGTCCTCATCGAAATTTGACGAATTCAAATTTGAATTTGGTATGGCCAACTTGATCCTCAATTTGACAGGGTTCAAAGGCGTCTCGAGTTCCTCAGAAGGTTGATGAGATAGCTCATCAACCTCCACGTCGGCGTCTTCGGTTTGTATGACACCCACATGATCAAGAGGTCCGAATTTGAGGTCGAGAGGCTCGTCATTATTGCTCAGAGGCTCGTCGGTATTGTAGAGAACATTGAGTGTGTCGTAGAGAACGTCCTCGTTGTCGTTGAGGTGTTCTTCATCAGCATTAGCATCAGTACCAACTGGCAAAGAAGCCTCTTCGGGTAAGGCGTTGGTTAAAAGGCCGTCGTCAGTGAGAGAAGGAAGGCCTCCTCCAAATGGCATCGTGCTGGTAGGCAATGTGAAAGGGATTGAGAGGTGACGGGTTGGAAACTTCTTCATCATGTCCAGAAGGGCTTGTTTGATCTTGATAGATTCAGCTTTGAATGGAACCCGCGTGTAACATGTCCAGCCGGTGTCAGCAATACACCCAGAAATGCTGTCTACGTCGCGGGATATTAGCTGAGCAAATCCTGCATTCTTGAGCTCGTCGTAATGCCATACGCCCAAAACGCCTTCAACTGAGCGCACCACTTGGCACCAATAATGATTGCCACCCCAGAATCCACGGGTGACCATCTGATATTGGGCTTCACCAACTACTATACGCGCGGGCCAGTTGGACTCGCCCATGTAATGTCCTCTTTCCTTGGTATCTAAAGCCATGACGTTGTCCATGAGAAAGTAGAGATGCAAAGGTAAGGATGTATGTTCAATCTTCATACGTTGATCATACATTGTTGGGTCCTCTTCCTCCTGGCCTTTCGTAATTGGATGACATTGTCGGCATACAAGGCCGGGTTCGGTGAGGACACCTTCAGTGAATAATTCTTCTAGCAATAGGTCCAGTTGACCATAAGCAACCACAGACTCCCTGAATATCGAGGGGAAAAGACGGAAACCACCCAAAGATCGAGTTGTAGCTCGATTGTGAGCGCTGTTGCAATGGCATATCAAGGTCTTAGTCACGTTGATAGCAAAAAGAGGCCTTGTGTGCGGGTGTTCGACTATCATGTCCATGAATCCATTGGCAGAACAAAACTTGTCGGACGTGTAAGACTCCGGTTTGAGAGCTTGAATGGCTTTGTTTATGATGTTCTGGCCTCGTTTCAATAAACTGCCGAGGTGTTTCCCTTCATTCATTTCACCATCGCAACGTCCGGTGAAATGTTGAATGATTATCGTGGGCAAAGATGTCCCATTGACGTGTGTGTGGTCACTCCAAAGTGGACCCCAAAGAGCGTAGAGGGATTCCAGCGTGGCAGTCTGCCAGCATCGATTCAGTGTTCCAATGGTTGTGCCTGACGTATAAGACTTGTATGTCGTCAAAGCACTTCGATTGACGTTCTGGGAACCTCGAGGACGTCCAGGACCTTTCTTCTTGGACGGTTTTCCGGATTTAGCATTGGCACCATCAAGCAGTTCTTGGGTGGTATCCGGTGCACGGCCGTCATTTGCAACATATCGGCGTTTAGTGGGTTTGGCCATGCCTAAAGACGTAACAACATCTTGCCAATTTTGATTGCTGGAACCGTAAGTTACTGCGATGCCTTTGCATCGTGCCTCGTAGTCGCGCTCTAAACTTGATACAAAGGCAAACAGTTGAATCATCCCGCCGATGATCCCACACTTGCCATCACTAACAATAACCCAAGATATAACAATTATTAATAATTGTTACAGTTCACATTTGATGAGGTCAACAAGGTATGACAAAGACGCACCAGAGCATGTAATAGACTCGGTGTAAGGATTCCTGCGCATTGGTCGTTTTGGGTAAATCCGCGCAGCGGCGTGGTTGAGCCTCTCCTTTGTCATCGGATTCTTCTTCAGGCAATGGCGGGTCATCTTCAGGAATACGCTTATGCGCAGGGAAGAGAATGGCTTGGACATCCGCCGCGTACCACCAATCGATCCACTTTTTCGCCAATGGAAATAATCGTCGCAAGTCTTTGAGTCTTTGGTCAAGATTCGGAAGTCCAGGTTCATCCGGGAGAAGAAGCTCTTGACACAGTTTCTTCCAAGTACCCTGCGTGTCCAAGGTAGAGAACAATTAGATGAAATACATAAAGACAATAACGAAGGTAATTAAAGACATAAGAAAGGTAACCTACCACCATATTAACCTTCACAACTTTGTGATTTTTCAAAATACGAGTGACCGCCTGTTGATAATGCTGTTCGCAGCCGTGCAACTTCGAAAAGGCTATTTTTCGATCATGCACGTTGAATACCTCCATGTATGCATCAATGAATCCATTTTTCTGAGCGGCAGAAAAATCCACAACCTGTTTGACCAGGCGCCTTTTTTCTCTGTCTGATAGATCAGTCTTCTGGATTTGTTTGAACAGAGTGGCGAAATGAGTCTTGTAGTGTAAGGTTGACAGTCCTCCAAGCCACGACAGTAAGATCGGTATCCAGCGCGGGAGTTTCTCGTTGTACATCGACGTGGTTAATAGGTAACCGTTGTGGTGATCTATTTACAATATCAAGCAAGAAAATTAATCATCTTTTACTTTATCAATTTATTAGCAAACTTCAATATAGCAGAGAATTCAAAATTCAGGTTTTCAGATCAATTGAAGCTCTTAGAGGCTTATGTATACTTATTAGATCATTATTATGTCATCTTATTTCAAAATTATTATTAAGATCAACATAGTTTACTTACAAAGTTATTACAAAAAGACAGAAAAAGAAAAGATAAGAAAAATTTGAAAATATAGGTGTAAAAGTTGGAAAATGGGTTTTAGCTTATTTAAAATAAAGTTATGGGTATTATGAGGTTAGAATATGAAAGGACAACATTATATTATACTATGACAATTTTAATCTTGAAGGTTGATAAGGAGGAACAAAAGTTATTAGGGAAAAGGCATCTTTTTGAAGTTGGTAAACAAGGGTTATGCGTGTAGTTTACATATGTAATGGTGGTAGTAGTGGAAATTAAGGTTGCCAAGAGGATTTTTCGGGATTTTTAAGGTTATAGAAGATGATGACATATTACATGAGCAAGAAAAAGAGAGTATCAGCTGTGAAAAGTGAAGAAAATGGGTGAATTCCGTGCAAAATGGAGGTTTTCAGCTAATTACATACGTCAAATGACGTCAGATAAAGTTGGTAGATGGCTCATTCAACGCAGAAGAGTGGATTACAGAATTTAAAATCTTTAAATCATTAGTAACGGAGGTGTATGTAAAAAGTTATAAGGCAAATAAGAAATTGGTGTGAATCTCGAATTTACAGTCACAAGTCAACATGTAACACCAAAAACCTTAACTTCACAACTCAATATCTTACTCATCACTCATCAGAAGTAGGTCATGTAGGTGTTAGAAATGATCAGTAACACGTGGGCTACAAGATGCACTTTAGTAATCAAAAATTGGAGCACATCTGAAAAGATTTGTAATCTCAAAAATTGGTTTTCAGCTAGTTTACAAGGAAAAAATCACCTGTATTCATCATAAGAAGTGCTGTACATCATATTATTGCGTCATTGATCACTTTTGGCTGTGAAAATTACATCATACATTAGTAACAAGATCATTACATTGCGTCATTACATGGTTTTTAGGGTTATTTAGGCGGATTTGATTGGTTTTTGAAGCTGTGGACTGTTTTAAAAGTTGTTAAATGTGGATATAAGTACTCCTTGATGATTTTAGGATTGTAGCGCCCTTTTCTGCATCTTATACCTTTGTTGTAGTGTTATAAATCATCATTTATTTACTATATTTGTACTAAGATCACTTAAATCCGCCCCTTCAAAGCAAGGAGAAATTTATTTACGTGTGTTAAAGACTACAAGTCAAATTGGGAATAATACTTACAACAGTATTGCTAGTAATAAACATAGTGTGTGACTTTTTTGCGCTTAAAATCAGGGAATAATACTTATAACAGTATTGCTTTATTTTCTCTGGTGCTTTATCTATTTCTCTGTTATCACAAAGTGGTCAGCAAGTGCCCTTGTGCTGATTTCTTTGAAGAAGGCAGTCTTTAGGCAACTTCTACTATATTACACGTAGTAGATTATCCCTTCTTAGGTGTTGTAAAGCTCTTGTTGAGCTTTAAATACTACACCGTTCAGAAAGAATTTGTAAGTGACATCGGAGAGGAGGCCGCCAGAGTAGGCCTCCCCGTCTTCTTGTTTGACTACTAGCATTTCGGCCATCCACTTCGTTTGGAAGGTGAAATGATCATTGTCATCCATTGAGACAGATACGATTTTCATCCCTTTCCTGTCAAAGGCAAAAGAGGATATATCAGCCATCATGTATAGTAAACACCCAAATAGAATGGAATACGAAAAGAGAGACAGGGAGTACAAAAGACAAATAAAATCTACTGACTTGGACCAATGTTTGATCTGTGTATACCATCTGTCACCTCCTTGCTTATCATTCTTATCGTCCATCAACCCATGTTTTGCAAGAATGTCACGGCGCAAATAGCCAAGGCGGTCGGTATGCCCAAAAGAGGAATGGATGTCTGTTATCGAAGCAATAGGTTGGGTGCCAAGACGGGCACGTCCAACCTATCAGAGAGAGCAGAACTGTGAGTTTATGTGCTTCAGAGTAACGGAGAAGAGAAGAAGATAAAGATGATTATACATACCTTCATACCAAGTGGTCCCAATTTCGGATCATTCAACACAGCCTCTTCCAGCTTCTCCTTTGCAAGAGGATCAGCCTTTTTGGGGTCTGGCCATTGGTGGGTGTGTTGTCCTTGGTGTCGCAGCAAACACCAGTTTTCGACGGTGTCCTCGTCAACACGACAGCGTGCGTAACACGCCAAGTGATTCACAAGACCAGGACATCCAGACACAGTGCAATTGGGAAACCTACCAAATAACCAGCGGAATCAAGTCAGTTTAACAAAACGTAGAGAAATATGATCCTGATGACGTACTTTGCAAGATGTTTCTCTATTCCCTTATGGCCGGTGGGTGGTGATCCCGCCAGTTGGCAGCCTTTCGCAGAGCAAATAAGCAGACCAAGGCAGTAATAATGTCTGATAGTCCAGTCGTTGTTGTGTTCAGTCCGCATCGTGTGAGTCCACGCAATGGTCGCAATGCCCTTTTTAAAGTTACTGATTTGATCCTCGGCCTTCTTCACATATATAGTTTCGCCGTTAGGATATATTGGATATCCCTGTTTGTCGAGGTCACTACCTTCATCGATCCATGTGGCAAACTTGCTTTTGTTGAATGGGAGCTGCAATTGCCGGGTTTTGACTGGTCCAACGGCTTCAGTAGATTTGCTAACATGAGATATGTTGTCAACGTCTTCAAATACATCTTGGGAGTTGTTGACTAGTTCAGATTTGGTAGACATTGTCATTACGCTTGGAGATTTATGAAATCGACGGGTTTTTAAAGGAGTTGTTTCTAAGGAACTTGATAAGGGATCCAAAGAAGATTCAGAGCAGTCTGAAGTCAAGATAATGGTAAAAGGAGAGCTAGGAGTGGTAGTGAACAGATTTTCCAAAGTGGAATCTTGAATCGCTTCTGAGGGATGACGCGAAGACACATATGGGGACAAGTCCTCTTCTCCGGCTCCCGCATTGTCCAAGAGAGCGGCCAAAGAAATGGATAATGATTGCCCCATGATGGATGTGATAGAAACCAATTTGAAAGTACAAAAGCGTTAAAGCGAAAGTACGAAAGCGTCAAGGAATGCTTTAAATGTAACCAATACAAAGGCACGAAAGCGTCATCAAGAAATGCTTCAATTCAAGTTCCAATTAGACTTGGAACTAAAGGTGGTCAAAAACGAGTGACGGTTGTCAACAAAAGCAAGGAGTCGTTTAAAAGTGAGGGTTATATGTTCGTCGTGCAATCCGAAAGTGGATGGAATTCCACTTTCCGATCCGGAGAGCTTCTGTTCATATGATCAGAACTGTAATCTTATCACGTGGGCCTCCACTCCATGGATATGGATATGTGGGAATGGTCAAAGGGCGGCATTGCGTTTTTTTCGAAAGGTTTGCCGCCCTTTTGATACCTTGCCAAACATCAGGTATATACGTCTGATGTTTGGGGTTATGTGGGATTCTTCAGGCATTCAAGCATGCGATGTTTGTGCGTTGAGGTGTCCATGAGATACAGTGTAAATCATTGGTGTAAAATTGAAGGTCAGCTCAGCATATAATGACATTTTTGCACCGAACTGATATTACACATGGCTAGTCGGTGTACCCGGCTCAGTGTAAAAATACATGTCGGGTCGGGGCCCGTGATTATTACACTGCCCTTTTTTACACAGCCGTTGTGGTGATCTATTTATGATATTAAGCAAAAAAATTAATCATCTTTACTTTACCAGTTTATTAGCAAACTTCAATATAGCAGAGAATTCGAAATTCAGGTTTTCAGATCAATTGAAGCTCTTAGAGGCTTATGTATACTTATTAGCTCATTATTATGTCATCTTATTTCAAAATTATTATTAAGATCAACATAGTTTACTTACAAAGTTATTACAAAAAGACAGAAAAAGAAAAGATAAGAAAAATTCGAAAATATAGGTGTAAAAGTTGGAAAATGGTTTTTAGCTTATTTATAATTAAGTTATGGGTTTTATAAGGGTAGAATATGAAAGAACAACAGTTTATTATACAGGAACAATTTTAATATTCAAGGTTGATAAGGGGAAACAGAGGTTATTAGCAGAAAGGTACTTTTTCGAAGTTGGTAAACAAGGGTTAGGCGTGTAGTTTACATATGTAATGGTGGTAGTGATGGAATTTAAGGTTGCCAAGAGGATTTTCCGGGATTTTTAAGGTTATAGAAGATGATGTCATATTACATGAGCAAGGAAAAGGGAGTAGCAGCTGTGAAAAGTGAAGAAAATAGGTGAAAATCGTCGAAAATGGAGGTTTTCAGCTAATTACATATGTCAAATGACGTCAGATAAAGTTGGTAGATGGCTCATTCAACGCAGAAGAGTGGATTACATAATGTACAACCTTTGAATCATTAGTAACGGAGGTGTATGTAAAAAGTTATAAGGGAAATAAGAAATTGGTGTGAATCTCGAATTTACAGTCACAAGACACATGTAACACCAAAAACCTTAACTTCACAACTCAATATCTTACTCATCACTCATCAGAAGTAGGTCATGTAGGTGTTAGAAATGATCAGTAACACGTGGGCTACAAGATGCACTTTAGTAATCAAAAATTGGAGCACATCTGAAAAGATTTGTAATCTCAAAAATTGGTTTTCAGCTAGTTTACAAGGAAAAAATCACCTGTATTCATCATAAGAAGTGCTGTACATCATATTATTGCGTCATTGATCACTTTTGGCTGTGAAAATTACATCATACATTAGTAACAAGATCATTACATTGCGTCATTACATGGTTTTTAGGGTTATTTAGGCGGATTTGATTGGTTTTTGAAGCTGTTGACTGTTTTAAAAGTTGTTAAATGTGGATATAAGTACTCCTTGATGATTTTAGGATTGTAGCGCCCTTTTCTGCATCTTATACCTTTGTTGTAGTGTTATAAATCATCATTTATTTACTATATTTGTACTAAGATCACTTAAATCCGCCCCTTCAAAAGCAAGGAGAAATTTATTTACGTGTGTTAAAGACTACAAGTCTAATTGGGAATAATACTTACAACAGTATTGCTAGTAATAAACATAGTGTGTGACTTTTTTGCGCTTAAAATCTGGGAATAATACTTAACAACAGTATTGCTTTATTTCTCTGGTGCCTTTTATCCTTTTCTCTGTTATCACAAAGTGGTCAGCAAGTGCCCTTGTGCTGGTTTCTTTGAAGAAGGCAGTCTTTAGGCAACTTCTACTATATTACACGTAGTAGATTATCCCTTCTTAGGTGTTGTAAAGCTCTTGTTGAGCTTTAAATACTACACCGTGCCATGTGTAACAAATTCAGTGTAAAAGTCAATATTGCCACCGGCCGCAAGATTTTTACACTGTTTTTTTTTACACTGAGAAAAAAAAATCGAGACAAGTGTAAAATTCTAAGTACCCGGCCCTGCTTTGGAATTTTACACTGACTTGATTTTACACATGAAGATCCGGTGTAAACAAGTCTGTGTAAAAATCACCCACCCCATTAAATACCGGAGTATATACTTTGCAAAAAAAAAACATTGCAAAATTACAAAATTTTGCTTCAATTTCGAAATTTACGATCAAAGTTTCAAGATCAAAAAATAAAATTCTTGTATTACATGCCTAAACAACATTAAGAACAAGCAGAAAATAAAAAGTAGAAAAAAAGACACAGTGACGACAAGGAGAAAAAAAACAAGCAGATAGAAAAAATGTAAATAATTAAAAGAAACCCCAAAGGAAAGAATGACTAGAAAAATATAAATAAATAAATAAATAACGACATATTAATCCCTCTTACGCCTTGTACGCTTTGATACACGTATACCGGCCTTACGGTCTTGGCTGCTGAGCCTGTCAGCAGCCACCTCCAAAGTGTCATCTTCTTCTGCCATGTTTTCTTCCACCTCAACCCATCCTTTCCATCGGGGTTTTTTCTTTGCTTTTGCACCATCACCTGCAAGTTCGTCGCCATCAGGTGCTACGTGATATGAAAAAGAATAGGTAAGATAGATGAATGACACATGAATGAATGACAAATTTTTGTGAATAACTCACCACATTTTCGTTTATTTGAAGATACCTTCTTGGAAGATACCTTCTCTTCTGTGTCTACATTACCTGAGGGCAACACCTCTTCTTTAACAATTGATTTCCTACGTCCTGATAAAAAGAAGAAATATCTATGCATAAATATGATAACATAAGGTCAATAGGTAAAAAAAAATACTAACCTCGTTTTGATTTATCTGCCAAAGGTTCCACGTTTTCTTTCTCTTGTTTCATGTTTTCTTTCTCTTGTTTTAGAATTGATTTCTTACGTCCTGGCCAAATTAATAAAGATTCATGAATCAGACGTAATAGTCAGTGATGTTAGAAAGATTTCTAACCTTGTTTTTTTGGCTTTGCCTTCACGGTTTCCAAAGGCGCTTCAATAGCAAATTCATCCTCCGAGGCAAACATCCCTTGCAACTCTTTCTTTTGCAAAGGTGCCAAAGTTGCTTCACTAGCAACTTTGTCGGAGGCAAACATACCTTCCATCTCTTTGCTGGTCTTGAACTGGATATCAGAAGTTTTTTTACGACCTAAAAAATCAACAACAAAGTATAAATAAAAGTTGTGACACCAAACATATGTAAGATGAATAGAAACTCACCTTGTTTTGGTTTCAACTTTGGCACAGGGGCTTCATCATCCAAGGTAAACATATCATCTACCTCGTTGATATTATTGTGAACAATTTCTACATCTGAGTCATTGGGTAATTCATAATCTTCTTCTTCAATATTCATGTTTTGTACCTCTTCATCAAATTCATGTTCATCACCTTCAATTTGAGATTGAGAAGATGGTCGGTCTAATAATTCTTTGTTGCCCACAGACCGGTCAATCTTGCTATCTGCTTCCTTGATTATCAATGACTCAGCCGCTGTAGGTGCTCGAGAATAGATAACCCAGCTTGTATTAGGTAAAGGTCCTCCAATATTCTCTACATCTCTAGATACCAACTTCGCAATTCCAGCATTTTCCATATCATTATGATGCCACACACCTGTCAGGCCACCAACTGTTTGTATGGCTTTAAACCAATAATGATTACCTCCCCAAAAACCGCGAGCCTGCATGATGTAAGTAGTCCCATTGATAATTAATCTGTAAGGTAAATCACATTCTTGCATCATCTTGAAGGCTTCTGGGCACTGAACATTCAATAAGTAAGTAATATCAAGTTGGACATGTAGATGGGGAGGCGCTGGATCCAATACAATCCGAGATTTTTCATAGAAGGGTGGAGACGAAGTAGGATCACTGGATTTTACTTCGTCTTTGTTGACCTTGCAAACACGGCAGTGTCGAGATGATAGACCTTGAAGCCCTGTTGATGATGACCATTGTTCCAGAAGTTTACTTGTTTGCGCACAAGTAAATTTATCACCAAAGTGGTTGTGAGACAACGTAATTGAATTTATATGTTTATTTTTGTTTAAAATATGTTCATTGTTATGAGAGCAGATAAGCTTCGTCTTGAGGTTGAGACAAAACAGTTGAAGAGTGATAGCAGGAGATGACGGATGATTGGTTCAAGTTTCCTTATTGAAGATACCTTTGAAAGACTGTTCAGCGGAAGCAAATTGGTCCGGAAGGAAGCTTCCAGGTCGACTTTCTTGTATGGCAGCATGGAGAGTATTTTGTCCTATTGATAGAATGCTCTTGATCTGACCTTTCTGACTGATCTCCCAGGTTGACCTTGACGAGAACAGCTTCATTAGCTTGGCAAAAATATGAGTTGATTTACCTGTTTCCCGGCTGTACCAAACAGCTGTATGAACTGCATACAGACATTCGGTCATGGAATTGAGCCAACATTGATTTTGGCGCCCAATGGCAGTGCTAGAGGAAAAACCGGGGTAAGTCGTGACTGGGTTTCGGTCGATATTGGTAGACCCTTTAGGTCTACCAAGCTTCTTCAACGGTCCTAGTAGAGCCAGCGTTGTATCTGGCGGCCTACCATCAGACTTCGTTTCTCGGAAATTGCGAGGTTCCTTCGACCATCCCAGAATTTGAGCCACCTTCTTATAGCTCTTGTTTTCTTCCCCATATCCAATTGGAACACCTCGAAGGCGGTCTTTGTGGTCCCTTTCTAGACTAAGAGCCAATGCATATAACTGGATTAGCCCTATAGCAATGGTACAATTACCTTCGCTGATAGGGCTCAAATATAGTCAGCACAAGTTACAAAACAAATATGCAAAAAGTTAAAACAAAATTAATGAAAATAAAACCTACGTGATCATGTAATAAACGCGATGGAGAGACTCTTGCGCGTTGGTTGTCGCCGGCATGTTGGTGCAAAGTCCATCATAGTCAATTCTCTTAGGCCTTGCTTTGAATATCATGGCCTTGATGTTGGCCGCTGTCCACCACTCGAGCCATCGCTTGGCTTTAGGAAAATTCTTGCGCATCTGTGCAATTTTTTCATCGCAATTCAAACCTCCAGGTTTGTCTGGCTTCATAAGGCCACGGGCTGCTTTTTCAAACTCATGCTGTGAGCAAATCACCAAGATATCAGTATAAATCACATTTGGATGAAATAATAATTAAGAAAATAATTTGAAAAATATATCATACCTCATTATCAGCAGGTATGATGTTGCGGTTCCTCTTCACCCTCGTCACCTGAGCTCTAAAATGCTCTTCACAACCTTTTAATTTGTCGAGTGCAACAGCACGATCCGTCTCTTGAAAAACTTCCATATAAGCCATGATAAACCCGTTCTTCTGTGCCGCCGAGAAATCTACTACTTGCCGGACGAGTGTATCACGTTCAGCAGCAGTCATATCTGCTGCTTTAATTTGAGACATGAGGGTTTCAAAATGAGCTGAATAGTGTTCTTCGGTTAAACTTCTTAACCACGTAAATAAAATGGGAATCCAACGCCGAAGGTCCTTGTTGTACATAGAAGTTGACAAAAGATGACCATTGGCAAAAAATTTGTAAGTCACATTGGAGAGAAGGCCTCCACTATGCACATTGTTGTCCTCGTCTCGAGAAAGAAGCTGTCTCGTCATCCATTCAGTTTGAAACGTCATGTGAGCATTTCGTGGCTTGAAAGAGCTGGATCTTTCTAACATTCCATGCCTTGAAAAAATATCCAAATATATGAGTAAGTTGATTGAGACTAAGTAATATAATAGAATAGAAAGGAAATTACTCAGCCCAATGACACATGTCCAATACAAAGCTGTCACCTGCTCCAGGTATTTTCTTGTCTGGAATTACACCGGAATTCACCAGGATCGTACGACGATAGTAACCGGTGCGATGAAGATGGCCAAACGCCGGATGAATGTTTGAGACAGACTCAATGTTCTTCTGACCGGCTGGAGCACGTCCTACCTAAAGAAGTAAGATGATTATCATGTCAATAAATGAAAAAATTTAAGAGTTATTTATGTACAGACCTTGTGTTGTAATGGTCTGATTTCGGGATTTTCCACGACTTTTCGTGCAAATTTGTCCAGTGATAGTTTGTCCAGCTTAGATCGACGGGGCCATTGATGATTGTGGATACCAGTGTGTCAGATTATACCCCAACCGCTGGTATGCTCGTCCATCTGACACATAGTGTTGTCGCATGTAATGTACTGCAGGTAATCTGAACACCGTGCCGCTTGGCATTTACGAGGTCTATCAAGATATACATGCGTGAGTATGAAAGAAGATAATCAATGTAAACTATAACAAAATAATTGACTGGGTGCTCCATTCTCTTCTCTTATTTGAGCAGGTGGGTGGTGAGCCCAAATAGTCACAAGTAATGCTTTTGCAAACTATTACACCTAAGCATTTAAATTGAACAGTTCGCCAATTCTTCTTTTCTTTACCTCCTTCAGAAGTAGTATACATGAAAGCAAATGTTCCCCAGTTTGTGGGACGTTTCTGATTGGCGAGCTTGACATATACTGTGTTGCCGTTGGGAAGAAGCGGATAGCCCTCATCGTCAAGAGTAGTCTCTTCATGTATATAGGTTACAAAGGATTCCCTGTCGAGGGGTAGGCCAAACGTTTTCTTGACACCCCGAGGTGTGGATTTGTTTGATTTTGAGGACTTTATCGTTGTAGTTGATGGAGATATCTTTGAATTGGTTTTATGATGATGAGTGAGATTAGAATGGTTGTCTCCATCTAAATCCACATACTCATCATTGTAATCGATATCTTGATCGAATCCATTGTATTTGTCGTCATCTTCCACGTTCTCAAAGTCGGTTTCCGAGACATGAAGGTTGTCAAGGTCAGTTTCCGAAACATGACTCAGTTCTGAGGTGTTTTGAGGTGTTGTTTGATCAAAAAAAGGTTGAAAAGTAGGTACTAAATGCTTGATTATGTTGATATTGGTCTTGAATGAGGAATATTTCACGATACAAAATTATTGGTTTTTGAAGATGATAGGATGAATAATGGAAATAAAAGATATTAAAACGAATCAAATGCAGAACAATAAAAGGTTAATAAGACTTTGCATAAGTCACTTGCATTTCTTGAAAGAAGGTAATCTCCGACCTTTTGACAAATCGAGTCTAAGCTAGGTGTGCGAGACTCTGGCCTTGCTGGATAGAGGTCAAGCGGATGTCCTCCAGGCCCATTCAAATCACCATTCAGATACGTAAGCTCAGCGGCAGTACCTTTTCTACCACCTTTAGTGGGTGTAAGGTCACATAGAAACTTGAATGCATTGGAGCCAATCCAATCCATGGATTGGGAAGATTCATCGCAAAATTAAAGAATCATGAGATGAATTCGACTTTAACGATGGAATCTTTGCGGCGGTTTGAGATGTCTGTGAAGGATGTCTTGCAAAACTATGATATGAAGGGAGTTTTTTGACATTTGCAAGGTTATTTAATTGCGATGATTAGATGTTGGTCAACCTGAGCCCCGGACCCGTCGCCCCGCGGGGTCCCCGAACCCTACCCCGACAGGGGTAGGGTTCGGAGACCAGTTCCAGAACCGCAATGCTTAGGGGACCCAATAGGGTAGGGGTGCGGGCTCAAGCTCAGAAGAAAAACCCTACCCGCGGGGAACCCGCGGGTAAGGCGCAAAATAGGCTATTTTTACGTTCTACTGCGTCACCGGAGTTCTTTGAAAGGTTAGATAATAATATTATTGGTAAAGACAGTAATGAAAAGAGCTAAGTAAACAACGATGACCGATATCGAATGAAAAGATCTCGGTAAAGATGTTGAAGAAAAGGCAGTGAGGAGAAATTGAGGAAAACGGAGACTAATCCTCCCCATCAATCTCGATACAAACACTTAGAGAATTTTTAACCAATGGAAAAGGTATAGGACCAAAAATACGGTACCATTCCTTGATACATAATAGCACTTCAACACTTATGGAAGATAAAGATGATCTCTGAGGCACCAAGATCCTCTTTGTCTTACTAAATGCTCCTTCGGATGAGGTGCTTGTAGCAGGAATCCCCCAGTACATCTTGGCCATTTGAGCAAGGCCTGGTGAAGATACTTCACGGAGTTTCCAATATCCAAGAATGGTTTTTGAACGATGCTCGCGAGGCTCAGCCAAGTATTGAGCTATCTCGCTTTCAATCGTGGTGGATTCGGTATCTTCTTCAGTTCCGTAGATGGCATCGTCAAGGTAAGATTTACTTTTCTTCTTCGCATGTTGTGGGATTGAAGTTGATGATGAGAACTGATTAGATTTCTTAATGAAATGTGACTTGAAATCGTTTGGATTCATGCCATAGCGAGTGAAGAATGTAGCACGATCCTGATTATACACATCAGTTCAAACATCTAAAGAGAGTAAGACTATACATAAAGTTTGCTCACTTCGAAAAACTTCATCTTAAGTCGTGGATTGAGTATAGTTGCACAGATTGGTGCTGGTTTACGGAGTGCATCTCTAAAGTATTCCTCAAGCTTGAGAACAACGTCGAAACCGCTGCGCTACGCACAGCAATATCAGGGGTACTGGATAGTGGTGTGAAGTACCACTATCCTGAGGACACGCTACGCACCACTATCTCGGAGGACCCGCTATGACATTTATGTAGTGGCGTGGGTAAGTCACTACCGGCCACTACAATATTTGCGCACTATCGCTACGATAGCGCACACAGTTTATGTTAAGTATGAACATAGAATTTTATTAAAAGTCATATAAAGAATATCTGGCAAACATATACAAGAATCATTAAAAAGCTGAGTAAGAGAGTAGACGAATAGGAAAAAAAGAAAAAACAAAATGTATTAAGGATAGTTTAGAAGTAGAAGGGGATCTAAATGAATGAGATAAAAAATGAGACTGTGAGTGAATGTAGGAAAAAAACAAAGCCAAACTGATTCAAAGAGAGTAAAGAAACAAAAGATCGAGTCAGACTGAAAGAGAGAGGATATAATAATAAGAAAAAAAGAAAGATCGATTCATCTTCTGTCCATCTTTTCCACCAAGGCAAAAGCCTCAGAAAACTCGCCAGGAACCTTTATCCCCGCCCTAAGCCACTCCCGAGAAGAAGCACATCGCTCGATGGTACGGCTACTCATAGCCGATCGATCAGACCCACACACGTCAGCTGCACCTGAAAAACATCGTTCACATGAACAAGTTGTTCCTGAACATGCCAGAAAGTCACGAGCCATGATTGAAAGGACCGGGAATGCCCCTGAATTGTCCTAAAACAGAAGAGGTCATTAGAAACTTTGAGTATGATGAAAATGAAACGAAAACATACCTTCCACCACGATAAAAGTGTGCCAGCAGTGAGTGGGAATTTCCCTGACATATAACCCTCATACTCTTGCTCGGTATCATCATTAGGTCCGGATGCGTTTGAAGCAAAGACATTATACTCATCGTCGGTGACAGTAGTATCTTGCTGATTAGATATGACGAGTGCAGATGGGTGACTGGCTTGGTATTTAGTTGAATAAGAGTCCATTTCGCGCTCCATAACTCTTTGAACATGAGCAACTTGTGTTGGATGATGAAGTTCGAAGAACTTCATTCTGAGACGAGGGTTGAGGACAGTGGCAATGACGATCGCGTCGCATTGAAGAGCCTCTGATTCGTATGATTGAAGGCAATTAACCATGCTAGTAATCATGGTTTGGAGACTGGCGTAAGGAGTATGTAAGCCAAGTTTTTCCAGTGAAGTTCGGACACGGTGATAGTCAAGTAGAAGAATGGCTGCTGTCGAGTGGTCACCCTCCACTCTGGATGTGGCTAATACAATAACCTGGTCAAGTCATTAGGTCTCAGTAAACGAGTATGATACATAATTGAAAGAAATGAGACAGTTTAGAACTATACTAACTTCCATAACCTCATTCAAAGCTGAAGCGCATAACCATTCACTCTTTGATATCGATATTTCGTCAAAATAACCTTCTTCATCATTTGCCAACATCTGATTGATAACCTGAAAGCAAGAGGCATTCTCAGTAAAATTCAAAGTTAGACGGAGATCATGAAACAAAACTAACCTCAGCTCCATCAACCATGATTGATCGGCTCTGATGTAGACCATTCCATTTGCTGGACGCACCAAGAATGGGACAACGCAAGGTCCTACCCAAATCCTTAGCACGATTACGGAATTCAAGACGTCGAGAAGGCCGCCGGGCAATGAGGCGGCTCACACGATCAATCTACACACATCAAGGTCAGCGTTGAAGATCAGGAAGTGATTGAGTAAAAAATAGAAGAATAAGGTGAAATAAATGTACCTTCTTGATTGCCTGAACCACCAGATCAGGCCTGGCTCTGCTTGATCCAGGCAAGACACTAGAGGGGTGAGATGATTGTAGAACATTACTATCAGATTCACTACCAGAATCACCGTTGCAAACGTCTGCTTTGCTAGCACGATCAGCATCTTGGTCAACATCTGAATCTTCGTCGTCTTTGGCTTCAAATTGATCATTTCCATCATTTAATGTAATCGAGGGGGTAGGGATGTTGAATAAAGGTTGGGTGGTTGGCTTTGTGTGGCCAGTATCGATTCCAATTGAAGCTAGACCGTGCTTCACAAGTAAGGCAAGCTTGTGGGCGTAGCAGCGGATCTGCATGCGACAAGCTGGCCAATCAACGCTAGGGGAAGCCTCCAAAAACATACGCTGCAATTCGTAAGCAAGCGTGGCATTGTTCGAGCCCGAATCTGTGGTTTGGGCTAACATGTAGTTAAATCAAAAAAAAAAATTAGAT